CCCCCACCACCACCACCACCGCCCCCTCCTCCCCCTCCCCTCCATCACTACCACTACCACCACATGATTAGTACATGATACTTTTAACATCATGTCTATTTTAGTCATTATTCATAGTTACAACAATTTTATATTAAAATTTACCAAACGGTTTTGACACTGCTTTTGTTACTAACAGCACTTTAAAAATATTGTTTACCAAACGTGGACCTACTTTACTTTACAGCTAATTATTTTCAAAGCACAGCATAAGCAACTTTTTTTAAAAGTGACAGCAATCCCAAATTGGGCCTAAATTTAACAAAAAATGTAACAATAGGACCAAAGTACGGATTAATAAAGAGTTGGTGGACCATTTGAACGAATAATTTAGTTTAGTGACCAAAATGTAAATCGGGTACAAATTTAAGGACCATTTGAGTAATTTACCCTAATTTTGTTTTTGTAATTTATTTTAAATCCCTCGTAAACGATACCTAACAAATTCTGTTAGATTACTTATAATTTCTTCTAAAATACCTCTCTATACGTACTTACTTCCACACATAATTGGACATAAATCTAAACATGTTCTTTTGCGATAATATCCAACTGAAAGTCCAATTACTATAATTGAAACCGCAAAGACAAAACTGAAAAATCAAATTCAAAGAACATAGTCCAAGATAAATTCTTGTGACAATGGTTTCAAGATAAATACTATAGAGACTTCAGTTATCCAAAAAAAAAAACCTCAAACTAGATCTCTCAAATTATCACGAGAATTTAAAGTGCCTTAAAAGAAAAATTCTTGTGAAAATCATTATGGTTAGATGACTAAATGCTTTTCAAGTTGGTTGCGGTTTCGACTAAGCTATTGTTATAATTTTAAACAAAAGTTAATTTGTAGATATATCGAGCTGCTTAATCCTCTTCAATGTGGACCACACAATAGCATACCTCTTGTTGTAGGTGAGGACAAGTCATGTTGTCACAAAATAAATAAATAAAATTCATTAATATATGAACCTTCTTTGATTTTTATTCTGAACCACATAAACGAGGCCATGAAAAACAATCCCCTCAGCAACAATATGACCAAAAAATAATTGTAAAAAACCACAGAGCACCTTCTTAGCCTCCCTTTTCCATGGCTTTCACAGCCGCTCCTCACACTTTCTTACTTGGGAGCCCAACAACAACAGCAGCAACAAGAAGAGGAGCAAGAAGAGCAACAACTAGAAAAGCAACAACCCATGTCAGATTACACGTGTCAGCATCACAAGGGCCAAGCAAACATGAGAGGGCCCCACCAGGAGTTGATACAAGAATCCATTGGGAGAATGAGGATGAAGGTTGGATTGGAGGAAGCAGTGCAAGTAGCAGCAGCAAAGCACAGCAGGCACGAGCAGAGCAAGAGCAGCAGAGCAATCTCTTGGAAGACAAGTTTGCTGATTTGCTGAATGACTCAATTTCTGATTCTCATTACCAGTGAGTCTTTCAAGTTGAATAAGTATTTTTATTATTTTAAACATTGATTTTGTTTTTCCCTGTATTTAACTTGGCAATTATATGTTTCAACTTGATAAATAATTAAATAAAACCCAGCTTTGAAGAGATACAATAGTTCAAGGAATTGCAATTTCATGAGTGATTCATTATATCTGTGCCTTTGTTTTGAACTCATTCACTCTCAACTCTTCCCATATCCTTCTAATACCGAATTTCAGACAGAGATATGAGGCAATTCTTCAAGATTTCGGAGAGATTTGTTTCATTAAAATTTCATCAGGGGTTAATGTGTTGTGCTAAGAAAGTAATTACTACTAGACAGGGCAGATATAAGTGAAGTGTAAATCATAAAAGCAGGAAGTACAACCACTAGATGTGTATGGTACTTTTACTCATTGTAAATTGTAAATGGCATCAATTTTGGTCAGGTTCTTAGGAGTATCAGCAGAGGCTGATCTAGAAGAAATCAAAGCTGCTTACCGAAGACTATCCAAGGAGTACCATCCAGACACCACTTCTCTTCCCCTAAAGACTGCGTCCGACAAGTTTGTGAGGCTAAGAGAAATTTATAATGTGTTGAGCAACGAAGAGACCCGTAGATTTTACAACTGGACACTTGCTCAAGAGGCTGCAAGCCGCCAAGCAGAAATAATGAGAATGAAGTTGGAAGATCCTTATGTGAAAGAAGTAGAGAAGTACAAACCTGTGCCGGATATGGTTGATCGTCTAGGTGGAAGGAACATGGCGCTGGGCGATCAAGCAATGACTGCTCTCACCATTGATGTTTTCATTATCATTTTTGCTATTTGTTGTATCATATTCGTGATCTTCTTCAAAGAGCCATATTACTAGATAGCTTGATAAATAGCTTAGAAACATAGCTTATGGCTATAGGAACTGATACAAGTACACATTATTATTCAAGAAAAGTGCACATTAATCTATTCTTATAGAAAATTGGTATATTGTAATTATGTTTTACATGGTTTACCATACATTTTACTTATGCATACCCATTTCATAGAACATAGCACCGATTACAAGACACATAGTAACATTATGATTAAAACTAAGAGGATGTTTCCTGATGAGGAACCCAACACTGACGTAGTGTTGCTTTTAGCTTCGCCTTGTCACCATCGACAAGGGGAGAGAAGAACTCTGAGAGTACACTTACAATGTCATCTAAACCAAAATCTCCAAAACCCCATTAAATTATGAGTGATTCAATAGTTTGCACTTAATGAATCTGGAACGTTATTCCGAACACAATAATAACAGAGCAGTACGCCATTCAAAAACCATACTCCAAATTAAAATATATCAAGTTTAGGAGTGTCTTGTCCAAAAGAAATATCATACTGCACCACCAATCAACATCAAGACTAAGTTTACAATGTTATAGCAAAAACAAATCCCTCTGAAAAATATTATACCTGCTCCTTTCTGCCCACTTTTTGTTCTTGGTCAACTGCTCTACTTTTTCTGAAAGACAACTGTTGGAGCGGAGATCATCTCGGTTTTTTTTCTCAGTACTACATCTTCTTCTTGCTTGGATGAATAAAGAATTACCATTTTCTTCAAACTCTGAATATGCTCCAGTATATACTTTGCTAACTTCCATTCATTAGTACCATTTGAAAGCTCTATTATTACCTCTTGAAGCTCATGCATACAAGCAAGGTTATGGGATCCACAGCAGCTCGTATTATACCTGGATGACTGGAAAGGCAGCAAGCAAATCAATTGAATTTTGTTAGAAACATATTCATAAAAACATAAGGAAAGGAAAAATACTTTATTATTCGACCAAGATCAAATGCATCTCATTCAAGAAATGTCTGTGTGCATGTGAGAAGCAAGGGCCAACATACAATACTATTACTTACATTATCAGGAGCATCTAATGGCCGCCATCTTATGAAGGATGGATTAGAAGTTATGCACAATTTACGCAAAGTAGTCATTCCATTAAGAAGAGAGACCATTTTGGGGAATAGCTCGTCACTCAAGCTGCTAGTACGCAAACCCAAGTATGAAATACCATCTAATGTTGGCATGGGACTTTTCCTGCACAGAGCCTGCAATGTTTTGCAATGTTATAAAGGCTGAACCTCAACTAGGACAAGATAAGTGCCCTAAAGCGCAAGAATCAAAACAGAAACAAAGTTATCCCTTATCCAGAAAAAAAAATTAGTAACAAAGTATAACTAAATCCAATATATTTCCTGAAGTCTAGATAAATGCAATGAATGATCATTTGCCAAATCTGTTGCATTTTTTGTTAACAAACAACTTTGTTTTGTGGACATCAGTAATTCATAACTAGTACATATTTACTTTTATATAAAAAAAATATTAAAAAAAACTAGTACATATTTTCAATTTAGTATCATTAAAGACTTTGCATACATGGATTATATAAAAAAAACTTCAGAATAATTATGAATTTACTTCTGTTTATAAGAAAAAAGTATTCATTTTTCTTCATGGTGATACTAGTATAGTGTATTATCACTGATAAAGTGTGGAAAGTTAATATAATAAGCTCTGCATACATAACGTCTTGTTTAAAGAAGATTACTGTATGAAGGATGGTAGTCACGCTTTACCTTCATGGTCTCTTCATTTAGAATAAGAACTTTACTCCTCCCTATGCTGCAAAGAACCTCAAATACTTTATCAGACTCATCAACCTTCGGATACAGATAAATCTCAGCTTTTTCTAAACACATTAAATTCCCCAGATTCTGGTGATCCATCAAATTCCCACCCCATTTCAAATACTTCAGATTTGGAGCAAAAATATTTAATGATTTTCCGCTAACTGAAGCACATTGCCACTGTATATGTATATCTTCAAGTTTCTCACCGGATATGCCAAGATAACAGAGTGGATTTCGATCATAAAGCACAAAACTAAATGATTCCAAAGAAGAGCTTATAACGGTCATACGTTTTATACCGGAAACATATACGAGCTGTAATTCCTTAAGGAATTTACAGCATGGGATCCATTTGTCAAAAAGCTCCAAACCTTCTATTTGAACTCTATTCAACTTCAAACATTGGAGATTAGTCAAAAAATTGGAAGAGGGCCATTTAAGAATGTTCCACTTAAAATCTATCACTAAAGTTCTCAAAGATTTACAAGCAGAGATGGAAGACGGCAATAACTCTAATGGTACTCTACACTGCATATCGAAGTCAAGATCTAACACTTGGACATTACACCTTGCCGCATGACGGATCCATGTGGATATTCTGAGCAACTCATTAAATGCTCTTGCAAATTTGACTGAATGGTAGTCCCAAGATATACGAAAGCACTCTATCTCATTACTATCACGATTAGCCAAGAATTTATCAAAATAGTTAAACGCCTCCAATCGTCTCCACATGTTATTTCTTTGGTGGTGACTTAGATTAAAAATCAATGACGGATATGAAAGATAAAGCTCTAGACATCTTTTGGACACACAGCCCACCTGTCCGATGTCTTTGAAGGGGAGGAAGGAAAGAATGTGATGAGCAACTTCAACTGGAAGATCACTGAATCTATCAACAATGAACTCAGGACCTTGAGCTTGAGAGCTTGCAGTTGCCAACATCTTACGCCTGTGGTCCATATCAAGGATCTCAAGGATTGTTGAAAGCAGGGGCAGATTTACACTAAACACAAATCACGCATTCGAAAATCACGTAACAGGAAAAACAAAGCCACAATAATAAGAGGATTATACTATTTTAACGTTAAAATTTGATTCTACTTGGGCACACAAAACTACACTAAATTAGCAGACGTTAGGGTCTACTGTTTATTAGCAGACGTTAGGGTTGAAAGAGACTGAGGGGCTAGAAAAATTTGACCTTACCTTCAAGAAATCGGGCTACTTTCTGCATGATTTTGATTTGTCAAGTGGTTGTAGGTGAGCAAAACCCCCGCGCTCTCTCTGTGTTGTAGTGAGTGATGAGTAGTCTTGTTAGGTTCTCTTTTTATACCTTTCCCTGGGCCGTTGATAGTACCAAATAATTTGGATTTTGGCCCAAAGGAATTATTGATTTTGGTTTGGGGGACTTTCAGATAAGGACAAATTGAAACAAATCGCTCAACATGGAGAAAATTAGTCGATGGTCATTCAAGCTCTCACGGTCTAACAAAAAAACAAACAAATCGAATTGATATTACAGTCCTGTTGATTTAAGTACTTAACAACGAGGACATGCGAAGACCTTTTTAAAATGGAGTAGAGTGAGGAAATTTGAGTTTCGGATGGTTAAGTGAGAGCGGGCTCGAGTTTCAAGAAGTAAAACAATAAATAAGCCTTTTTCTTTTTACGGGTTGGAATAATTAAAAGGATCATGTGAGTAAAACAAAGAGCATGAGCGATGATTAAAACTATTAATAATATATGCCGTTAGTGAGGGTCAAACTAGTCACGTGTGTCGTGTAACCAATTTTAAAGGGGTATTATCGTTTAAATATAGCTCATTTTAGTCCTAAAATTCATGTTTGTGCTCAATAAGGTCATATTCTTTTCAATTACAGTTTCACAATTGGGGGCCATCAAGGTGAGCCTTGTTGAGCAAAACACGTTAGCTTTACTTTGTGTCGTGTTGATAGTTTGTATTTTTATGAATTCTCTCTTTAAAGTAGGCTAGATTACCAATTTTAACAAAGGTTTTGACGGAATAAGATGAGAGGGGCCAAATCGATGTGTGGACCAATTGTTGATTTAAAACTTTGAGGACTTGTCAAATATTCAGGGACAACTAGTGAAAGAGAAACATAAGCCCCTTATACTCCCCCAAAATTCCAATAGAAGTTAGAAAAATTCTAGATACTTGTGTTCACCCGTTCAAATGAAGGAAAATACTTCCCTCCTTACCATATAAGTAGGAGTTCCTACATTCCTACCAATAGGAGTGCGACATGCGTCAAATTGTGATTCGCAAGAAGTATGAGTATCTCCTTACCGGTAGGGAGGCAAGTAGTATCCTCAAATAAATTACTGGATACTGATTATTATTATAGTCAATCAAAGTTCAAACCAGGTATTGGAATACATTATCATGCTTGAAACACTTATTATAATTATATAAAAAACTTATTATGATACTTGTGTTTTTTGTTCCCATGAATTTTCTTAAGGTGTGTATATGCAATGCAACCAATGCTTACCGTTTACAACACTGTGCTACAGGAGCTGATTCGGTCAGTTGGACCTAATCTTCCATAAGTGGAAAAATGAATTCAAAGGCTTATTCGATTTAAGCAAAGAAACTTTACCACAAAGATCAGTTCAACAGTCCCAATTGTCAAAAGTCCAGCAATCAACCTTGATCAGATTCGTCCCCCAGATGTGACAAAATTTATATAGGTTGTTTGATGAGATAGGTACACTAACTGTGGTGGTGAAGCAAGCATGCATGGAACTAAGTAGAGAGAGGTCTTCAAACCAACCAATTTGTGAGACATTCATTTGGTGGTGAAACAATGATAAACATTCTACATTTTAATTTCAGTTGCAGCAAACATGGCTACAAGAGTTCACTAATTAGTTCAAACAAATATGATCCCGTTTTCTTTAATGGTATCAAGAACAATCCCAAGCTTACCTTCAATCCGCTCATCTTTCCTGGGCTCATAAGACAATGCATAAACATCAGCTTCCTTTGATCGCTCAGCAATAAGCCTCCCTATAACTCTGCACGCATTGTGATCTGTGAGTGAGGGTAAGTTGCTTCGAACATCCTTGGCGTTCGTGGTAGCGACTGATATCACTTTGCTTGTTCCTCGATGCATCACTTTTGCGTGGATAAACTTTTTTGAAAAGAAAACATTCAGTAAGAATGGCCTCATATACATATCAGTCTTCTGTTTCCACGATTTCCTGTTAGGCTTCTTTGCAGCTTCTCCTCGAGATCTC